ACATGCGTCGGAGAGCATCAAAGAATAGCTCTGTTACTGATTCCAACGCTTGTAGGCGAGACTGGCACTCACCACGGAGTGCCTCAAAAACAGAGATTGCTTCTTTAACAGAGCCCAACAGGTGTTCGTAAGCCACATCATGCAAATTTTTGTCCTTCCGGAGTCGAACAACTTCATCATGAACCTATTAAAGGCGTTGCCTAAAAAAGACTCCAAAGCCGAGCATTGGGTGGAAAATTCAGTCAGAACGTCGGGTTTTGAGTTGTGCTCGGTAACAAGGTTTAAGTGGTTCTCGCAGCGATCTACACGCGTCGAGAAACGATGCTGCAACGCCTCAATTTACCCCAATGAGCCATCTTCTACTGGCAGAGTCGCTCAATCGTTTTCAATCTCAACCTCACCTATGCGTTTAGACTCTCGTGGAGACAAGAGAAGAAAAGAAGCGTCATTGGGCGCTTGAGACGATTGTCGAACACGAGGATTGATCGACTCGTCGTTGGGAAAGATGCACGCAAGTCATCAATCTTTTTTAGAATTTGGTATCCATCGGACTCGGACCCGAGAGAACATCGTCAGGCCTCAACGTTCGAAAGATTCGACGTGGTTCGCAGTTACGAGAATTGCTTGTAGTGTTGCTTAAGATATCCAGAGCTTGGCCAAGCTCGGTCGTGACCAGGAGTCCTGCCAGCGCCGATTTGGAAAGGCAGACGCCCCATCTTATTCTCGTTCTCAAGGCGAATAAATGTCCACCAAGAGTCAACCATAGATACAATGGGTTGAGTAGGATCATCATAATTGTTAATTTGACGGCCGCGAAAGCAGCATTCCATGTGTCCCATTTCGGTTGAGCATAAATAAAAGGTAATCGTTTTTTTGCCGTTTAAGGGAAGAACTTTCTTCAGTGTTGACTAGCTCACTAGATAGCTTTATTGTTGATCGAAAATTGGACTGCCTCAAAAAGTCTGTAAAAGTATTCAACTAATTCTGACCTCAAGGAGGGGATGATGTAATGGGCTATGTTAGCGGTACATCATTGTAGCTTCTGGATGGATTGTGACAGTTTATAAAAAAGTACAGTATGGTGTTTTTAAATGCATACGCAAAATCTAATATGAAGTTGCAAACATTTTATGCAATAAAATACGGGTTCTTACCTGGGGTCTGGTTTGTTGGCGTGACCAACGTGGCCGTGTCTCTCAAAGTAGGTGGCGTAAGCCAGTCCCTTCTTCTGGACACTTTTCACGAAAGGTGAAGTTTCGCTTTTCGAAGGTCATGCTCCAAGATCTTGTAAAAATTGAAGCTGCGCTTCAGCACTTGATATGAATTAGGAAACCACGATTTTATTGGTAAAACCGAAAGAAGCCCTTGGATTGTTTTTCACTTGGAACTATTAACTCCATTTAATTCAATTGCAAATTTGCCTGAAAGGCCTGATTTCATTCTTTTATCATCCATGTTTGGACTGTACTTCAAGTACTTTTCAAGGAACATCGCACACGTCGATTGTATTCATTGAAAGGAGGTGAAACTGCGCTATCAAAAAATTTGTTCTTGTTCATAAACTTGGCGCGTCTATGCAATGGATTTGAACGTAAGGAAATCACAAAAAGCCTACACTGTGAGGTCATGGCAAAAGCTCACTCTAACTTCGCGATATCCTGTCTGGTCTTGTGTATCTTCTTTAAAGAATGCGATTGGTACCATACAGCCAATCTTCAATGTGTCTGGTGGCGACTTCTCTCTACAAACGAGTAGAAAGTGTTGCTAGTCACCTACACGGCTCTAGCCTTATTCCGTCATATATCTGGTTCTAATGTTTAGGTATCATCTCTTCAAATGTGATCATCAATAGAAGTATGATCAGATGGCACACAGTTGTCGTGATTTTCTGTGACGTTGCTTAAGTTCGTATCACTTTTCGCGTCATACTTGACATCATTTGAGGGGTCACAAAACCCATAGATACGTCGCAAAGCTCGGGAGAAAGACAAGTATCATAATTTGCTGCTTTCTGTTGCTCAGCTGCCTTGCTAGCACATTGTTCATCGCACGGCTTTGCGTGCGTTTGCGGAGGCACCGTAAACTTACCTAGGTATCCGCAGGATCTGATACGTCGTCTGTTGTAATAATCAGATCAGAATTCTCTTAAGTCAGAGTTTTGTTTGTCATAATCAAAAGCTTTTATCCAGACAGAGTAAATCCAAAATCGTGTCATTGGCTATAACTTTCGAAACTGCTTGCTGTGTAATATCTTTTGCCGTTAGTATGCTACTGTATTGCGCATTCTATGAAGTCTGGCCTTACACCAAAACTCGCAATTCTGAAAATTTCTAAGTTTGGGTCAACATATTGCACGAAGATTTCGTGAATTAAATTTCTTACAATTCCTTTGTCATTATGTTTCCAAGGAGTAGACGAGCTTGGCTTTTGAAAAAGCGTTGGCGACTGTGTCTTGGATTTGTACAAAATTACCACTTCTTCGATCTACTGTACACCAGATTACAGTCTATCTGCAGCAAGTTTTCGCAATCTACTTCGCAGCCTTGCGACGGCTATTGGTTTTGTTCAGGTGTTTTCACGACGACACATTGAGTATGTGGGTGAGTTAAGTGCGCACGATGCTCAAATTTCAAGCAGACAACTAGTGGTACATTACATTGGATTACAGGGATTCTACACAAAGAAATACGTTTACGTTGAATTGATGAATAAGGCGGTCCGGGTGGGCTTCCCGTTTAAGGACAACTACGAAGTGGAGTCTAATTCAAGTGCTCATACCATGATTGTTGGACAAGATAGAAATATTTGAGATACATAATGTTTATTGAGCGACAATTCGGATATCATTTGTGGTTTGTAATAGAAGTATGTTATTCTCAGCTGCTTTCGGCTTATCAACAGTGACTTTTGATATTGTAGATTACGACCAAAACGTCTTGTCCTAGCCACTGCCGACGGTGCAACTGTGGATTCACTCTTCAATGGGACAAGACCAAAATGAGAAGGCCTTTCTAAGATTCGGCATTGCGCTTCTTGGTCACTGTCAATTTACCAAGACACGGCATTTCCTGTAGAACAATTTGCTACTTGAAACACAATGCAGTTGAACTGAAAACTCGCCATGTTCATAGCTCTAAGAACTATTATAGTTTTCTTAACACCACGATAAGCACGAGTCCGTGCAGCTTTGACTATCAAACGTAAAACTCAGATCGTGCTAATATTTATTTATTTCTGCAGTATAGAACCATCCCGTTTTAACCGGCGTCTCAGTGTGTGATTTCTTTTCAATCCTATTATAAAGTTTATTGGGTTGTTGTCGTGGCAGCACAATTTGGCATCAAGTAGCACTGTCACAAAGTAGCGTTTCTAATTTCTTTTAGGAAGTACTTTTCCAGATACTTTGCAATAGCTTCTTCAGCTTCTACCAGTTAGTTCCCGTATAAAACCAAGATTGTCTTGCGCTAGTTCCCGTATAAAACCAAGACTGTCTTGCGCTTACATGTATTAGCGTTTTTTTCCTTGTAAGAACGAAAGATCATTTAATACCGAAGACTGGATCACCGTCGTTTTCCAAACTTGCGGCATTTGCTATTTAGGCACATGCGGATATACGTCTCACTTTTTTTTTGTCATGTTGACTGTAATATGAGTCATTAAATACGACAATCAAGTAAACTACGACCATAATCACATTTGCAAATATTGAACTATCTTGACTTTTATATATTTGGTACAACTGTATTTCTTAGATGGTCAGTACTGGGATATTTATGAATCCACCGAGTTAAGCGCAGTATTAATTTAAAAAGAATCGATTATAAACATATTTAATCTTAGAAAAGCAGAACGAACTAATAGTGTGAAGCTGTCAATTCCGCCCCTGTGTGGAGCGCACGATCCCAAACTCCGAGTATTTGTCAATACAGACCATGAGAGTCAAGCCTCTTCTGTGCAAAGTTCACGGCAATGTCGTTGCAATTGTCATCGTTGGCACGTACAGGGTTAGAATCTATTCTGTGCGTTAATTTACCAAGATATATGCGTTTTAGAAGCAATAGGTTGGGGAAGGCCTGAAGAGTACGGCAGTGCTGTAATAAGAGAACAGTTTTAAAGCCAAAGTTTGGACAGTCTTATCAATTCTGATTGTGTTAGTAATCACTTTTGATTGTAGTACTGCTCATATACATAGAAGAAACGTCGTGCAATCAACAAGTAGGTTACATTTTTTATAAAGAAACAGGGCAGAAATCCAGTTTGTTGTATCCAGTAGCGTGACAGACAAGGCATCTATCATTTAGTTAAAATCTAGTGGAATTAACATCTTTCAAAAAATTTATGGGAAAAATCAGGCTTAGATATATGTTGCTATTTGCCCACCACCGCTCACCAGGCATGACATCCTTTACCCATTACTTTGTCTTGCATACTCTGTAACTTCGATTTAAGCGAAGAGTGAGAATATCACTACATTTTTAAACGATGAAAATCATTTTTGTGCACACAAGTAATGCAAAAACCTGATTAGCAGATAATATATATTTTTATTGCCCGCAGCAGATCACTATCGCCAGCATTTCTCATAGCACCTGCTTCCACCGCATCTTAAAACTTTCTCAATATGAGCCTGATCGAAACCTCTTTCGTGCGGCGCCTTATTGCTGCTGTGATTTTACTTGTCAACGCTGGATGTCAACGCATATGCTGCTGAATCAGCAGCATATGCGTTGACATCCAGCGCTACAAATGTGGACGATGGTGATCATTATGGGGATAGTAACGATCGAAAACAAGCAGCTCTATCACATGAAAAAGTGATACGTGACGAAGAGAGGGTATCCAGCGCTACAAATTCGATTGTTTCAAGCATCAGAAATAGCCGCCTGAGTTTGCCGTCCGTAGCAATGAAAGTTCAAGACAAATTTCCACATTACTCCTCAGACCTACCCACGGAAGATATCATACAGTTGCTTAAAGCAAGGAACTTCCCTTTTAATTCGATGGAGGCTAGCATGCAATTATCGGGGACAAAGGGGTTTAAGAAAAGCTACGTGGTTCAGGTCACAGCGAAGGGCCTGCTCAATCCGGGGCTACTCAACGCCAAATTGCCCCACTTCTCTGAGGTAGCGACTAAAACCGTAAAAAAAGTTAAGAAGTTATTGAAAGCAGACTGGGACGCCTTTTGGGACGAATGTCTGCCAGTATGGATTGAACTGGGCTTTTCTCGCGATCATGTAAATGCAATACTGCGTGACGCTAACTACCGCGACGAAGATGTGTCTTATGTTTTGGCTAAATACGACAAACTCTGGTATATAACGAAGATGGAGTCAAAGCTAAGAATCTTGCCCCCCGACTTTGATGCCGCATCACTTCCCTATAATTTTATCATTTCAGAAGACATTCGTGCCGCCGAATTGATCATTAGCGCAATCAATATACAGAGGCTAGAGCTGCGCCTGGGTCCGTTTGATTTAGCTTCCTTCACAGCCGAATGGACGTATCTTCTGAAAAATTGGGTTAAGCGCAACTACTCTAGAGAGCGAGTGCAATTAACCCTTGAATATGCTGGTATAAACGAAGAAGACATCGCAGAAGTTGTGGGCATCTATGACAATCTCGTGTCAACTACGAAAGCCGAACCAAAGGCGACTTTGTCCCTTCCGGGCGAAACTCACGCACGAGAGTTGTCTAGCGTTATCACAAGCTACGACATAAGTGCTGCTAAAAAACTTGCTGGTCATGCAAACAGTGGAGACCAGACTTCAGACCCACCTTTCATCGCGTCAAACTGGAAGCAACTCTTTACAAACTGGATTATTCGTCACTTTACCCAAGAACAGGTGGAAACAGCACTTCGTCGCGCTGGACTAGATAAAAATGAATTGCCGCTCGTCATGACAACTTACAACAAGCTCATTAACAGGAACGACCGTGGTTTCGCACAAATCAATGCTCAAGAAATTGAGCTTGTGAAAGACAAAAAGATTGATAATGCCGGTATCATAAACCTGTTGGCCAATTGGGAACGGTTTGGAATTTCTCGCATTAATGTGATCAATGCACTGGAACAAGCAGGGTGGAGTAAATTGAAGATGCTGAAAGTTTTGTCCTCTTATGACAAACTCATAAACTAATCAAGCATAATGCTACGAATTACCTTGTCGATATTATCATTGTCTTAAATCCTTATCGAAAATAAATTTTGCACGTAAACTTGATTTAGAGTAAGGTTACAAGAATGATTCGTGCCCTAGACATCGCTGTTATTTGTTAAAGGAATGGTACCAGTGGACATGTGTGATGGTGCTCTTTTGAGATGCTTTAAGGCTTATGGATAAAAATTAATGTTCGTGTGATCATACGCCTCAGTATGATGCGCGTTCACAGGACTTCCGATGGATTTTTGGGGTGTGATATGGGTTTGAGGATCAACATAGAACAAACGTATGAATCTCCAAATCCACTTCACGTGCAGAAACCGAAATACCCGCTCACTGGATGTGTGGATGTTCCTTATGTTTTTGAAGCTATGTATTGTTTAGAATCCTGCTAATAATAAAAGCCTATCTTCACAACCCTCGTAACACAATCGAGATTGTATTGGTATCTTTGCCAATATCGGGCAACAAATCAAATCTATTCCTTCATCAATTATGCCACGATTTCCAGCTTTACAATGTGATTGAGCACATAAGCTGATGCTCCTTACGCCATGATGCTATCCATCGTCTCTGTGCAGCTGTTACGTGATGATGTATGCGTGACAGCAACCGATGTGAAAGATGTCGACACTTGTTGGGTATGCTGGTGTGTATTGCTGCAACCAGAGTTCATATAATGTCAAATCACAATTAACAATCTTACTGTTATCTACCATTTCGAGGAATAGCTATGCGATGGATGCAAGACAAGCAAACAGACGGTGAATCGTTCTAGGCTCGATTGCTTAAGAAGACCCACGTGTACTCCAGACCGATCACACGAATGTATGGGCAGATGAAAATGGTTTCAAGGGGTGGCGCACGGTTTGTGCTAGCGTTCGTAAATTATATATACGCTCTGTGGTGGTGTACTTGGCAAAGGCCTAGTGTTAGGAAATCAGTAAACTGAAAGAATTTTACAAAACCGTTCGGGAAGACGTCAAAAATGCCTATTGGTTGGAGTTTATGAACAGGATGGTTGCCGAGACCTGTGCAAAGGCAATCAGCGCACAGTAGTGTACAGTCCTTAACAGGACGGATTGGCAGAACAGATGAGCTCATCGGAAAAGTGTGAAGTATGCTGCTCTACAGTGGCATATTTTCTAATAAGCGGGCGGAAGCAGTCAGCACGGCGGTATACATCATCAATTGCTCGAATGACATGGCGAACTTGGACTTCATACCCCATGAGCTGACCTTCAGGCAAAAGCCAGAACCAGAGCTGGGACATCCACGCGTGTTCGGATTATAAGGATACACGCATGTTGATAACGCAAAGAGACAAAACTCGATTATAAGTGTTTCCGGTGTATGTTGCTCGGATATGCAGAAGTTACCTAAGGGTAGCGCGTTTTTGACATGGAGCATTTCAACAACTTGGTGACGCGGTTGGTACAGCTCGATTAGCGTTTAGTGGGCAGCATCTACAGCCCAACTTTACCACATCATTAGACGATCATCTTTGTGACCAATCATGATACTGACACGGACATCAAGATCAGTGGCCGAAAGCGACCTGCTACAGACGAACACATGGAAAACGTCGAAAGCAAGGATCTCGATACTTCATGAAATGAGTTGAGACTGAGTCAGAGCAAGTGGTCGCACTGCATAAGCTGCCATCGCCTCCTTGTCTGAGCAACAACAACCATCACTTTGACAGCTTACCACTCTAAACCACAAGATATGAACAAAGACAAGGTTGTTTCCCATGCGGAGACTGGTCGGACAAGACAGACTGAAAGAGTCTGTGTTTCTTCTTGAGATTAGTTTGGAGGTGAAAAAGAGTGGAACCTCATTAAGTCTGAAACGAGCCAAATCGACAAGGTAAGACTTTTGCAGGCGCTTTGCTGGATTATGTTGCTTGTGTTGACGAGATGAATAATGCGCCGTTAACATGCCATCAAGTGATGCGCAGTGACGATATTCATTTAAGTGGGTGACGGTGATGAATGCTGAGCTCAAAGCTTACGCAGAGAATGACTCGTTGACGCTTGTACTGAAGCAAGTTGTTGTCCGGCCAATCGGATGTAGATATACGTTTTCGAGGAGCAACGATATATGGGCAAGGTGTGCTTGACTCGTCGCAAAAAGTTTTAGCAGAGGTTTGGTGTCGACGTTTTGAGATATACTCGACCGTCGCAAACATGAATTTTATCCGAGCTTTGCTGACATTGATCTTCGCTAATGGACCCACAACGAAACAGTTTAAAGCGGGTATAGTGTTCTTAAACAGCTATCTTAAGAAGCAAATTTTCGTGGAGGTATTGCTTATACCGCAACGTCTGGACAAGACGTGGGGCAGGCTGCTAGCGCATAGAGCAGATGTACTAAGAGCAACAATGGCAGCTACGTCCACGTATGCTTGTACGTCGTTGACATGATCATTGCCACCAAGATGAACACTATTTACGAGAAAGGGATTGAGAGCAACCAACTTTATTTAAATTTACACCGCAACGGCATCACACAGATGACCAGTCAGTATGGGTTCATGAACGACGATGTGAGCATGCTCAACCAATAAAAAGCTAAGACTGTGCTTAGCCTATGTGACGTGAGATCACAGCAATCCAAAACACAATTACCAACGACGGACGGTGACGAGGCGGAGATGCAGTCAAAATCGTACAGGTCGCTGGCTGGGTGTTTTGCTGAATGATACAACGCGTAAATGTCCTGATATCGCGTGTGTGGTTACATAGCGTTCTCGGTTTCAGTAGAATTCGGATCAACAGCACTGAAGCCATATGGGTACTCTGCTACCTTAATGCGGCAAGAGACTGCGGATCACCTATAACGACAGCGCTAGCAAAGTGCACATCGCAGCTTAGACACAGATTGGGAAGCAAGATTGACGACAAACGCTTAGTGTCCGGAACCACGGTGCTAATTGGTGGTGCATCAGGGATCTTGAAGTCCAAGTATTAGCGAATGGTGACGCTAAGATCGTCAGAGGTGAAGTACATGGCTCGTAGCCTTTGTACACAAGAAGTGCTATGGGTATGTACAATCCCGAAGGACCTCGGTCACAAACAAGTCAGAGCTACTGTAGCCATCGAACTTGATGCAACGCAACTATCAACACCTGGACCAAGAACGTCGAATTCCACCACCTCTTTACTAGAATCTGTGGCCTGGAATATCACCTTCAACTGGACACACCAGTCTAACAGCGGATTTAGCTAGACGAGTGATGAAGCGAGCATACTAATTTTAATCTTTGCTGTGACGTGCAAATGCTTTTTTAAACGTTATTCTTTTTGGCACCAAATACTACATTGTATTAAAAAAAAAGATTTTTAAGTGCACGGAAATAGGCAAGCTTACTATTTTTGATCAGTACGCATGGGATACAGAGATGAAGTCGTGCTACGTAAATTTCACAAGGTTTTGCTTGGTAAATCAGTCAGATAGTGATGTGAGAACGAGACTGTAAGTATTTTTATATTCTCTGAGCTGAGCGTTATCATATTTTGGTGAGTCAAGTTGTCCAAAATATGTCATGACACATAAGATTTATCTTTCACAAAAACGAGGAGGCAAGATCAAGTTTGTAAAAGGCTCAGCTGCGATGAATCGTGAATCATCTGGAGTAGAAAAATCCAGACCAGCATCTTGATCATCTATTTCGTATTGCTGTATATCGACGGCGTTTGACTAGTGAAGCGCGTCGGAATACGTACCTCTGATCTGAGGAGTTTTCACTTCTATCGCTCGTATCAGACGCTCTGGAGTGTAGGGACGCTTGACCCACTCTGTCAATAGATACTTCCTCCCATCAACCGGCATTTCAGAACCTAAACGGAGTCGAGGAGGGTCAACTTGTGCCCTGTATGCAATTATTTTGGCAACACGGACGTCTAGTTTGGTACGCAATTAAGGAGAAAGAAATGTGCTTTTGAAGAATCCGGTCAAAATACTCAAATGTCATTTATGGGCACGTGTGTCGTATTAATTCATAAGGTTCCATACCATCAATCCTTCGAAGTGTGCTTTTATTATTACTAGTTCCACCTCATTGCGATCAAGTCCAGATAAAATTAATATCCGGAAGTGAAGTTTTTAAATGGCAACTCTGATTCAATGTCGCATTTATCTTTTCAAAGCTCTAAAATGGAGAGGAGAGTTATCCAATGATGCGAACCCGACATGAGCTTGATTTCTGGAAAGAGCCTCCCAATATGTTTTCTCCGTGCCTTCGAGCGCTTACAGAGTCCAAAACACTATCTGCTTGTTGCCAGTGCTCTTGAAGTACTATGAGTTTCAATAATGTAGAATACATATCACCATCTTGGTGCTACGCGGGTGGTAGCTTGTTGCTGGTCAGGGATACTAAAGAGGCTTGACAACCTGATATCCTAATTCACTGGTGTAGTCGACAAAGCGAATTGGAGAAGTGGGTCGCTGGTTGAAGACAGAGCTCTACTAAACGCCACCCTCTCTTCGTCACCAATTACTTCTATTTGTGCTTTTGGATCTTACATCCTTAGTTGGCGATGTGTTGCATCCTGTTAATTGTTGGGTCGAGGTGGAGAGCGTTATCAGGACTTCGACGAGGATAACAATAGCAACAAGAAGATGCAGCACGAAAGAGAAATCTGGTACCCGCATAGTGATTGAGATGAAATTTGTTGCGAAAATGATTTGTGTGTATGATTGGGCGGGTTGGAAATGGAAGTTATAATCAACAACAATCCACGATGTATGCCGTACTCACTGTTCTGCAGATTGGTCAAGATAGAAGTTCGAGGCAAAGATTCAGAAGAAATTTGATATCTACAACAGTAATGTGACGTCGAACATTATTGTATGCGCTGTTGTCACAAAATTTGTTGTATACCACTGTCGTTGCTCCGCATCTATGCGGAAATGGCAGTGTGCTTGAATTGCTCAAAAAGTGACTGGGACCGTTTAGGATAATAAACACTGGATCTCAGAATTTCATTTTTCACTCAAATATTTTAAGTATGGCAAATGATTTTGAACTTAGAAATTATCGTCGTCTAGGCCATTAAAATATTGGTCGAATCCAAATGCCTACCCATCCTTCTTCAGCAAAGTTGCAGTTTTGAACTATCGTGTATAATGTGTCGACGAAACGAATATTGATTAAGTCTCTATGAATATTAGGTGCTCACAGTTCTTTCAATGCTTTGCTTAAAATTTCCGTTCTGCCAGTGTAAATTTGTTTGTTATAGCTTCAGTGGTGGTCTTGCTTTATTGAGCTCTTGAAGAGTTGATGGTTACGTTTTAAAAACAACAGACACTATTATCGTTCGTATTCTGAGCAGCAATACTAGCATGCAGACATCTCAACCAAAACTTGACGAGGTTTCCTTTTTACAAGTGAGCAATCTAAAAACAAGTTTGTCAAAATATGACATGACACATTAAATCTCTTCATCGTCTAGAACAAAACGAAGCGTCGAAACTACCTAGTCACGAGCAAGATTGAGAAAAGTCAAGTTTGCAAAAGGCTCAGCTGTGATTAATTGAAAATCATCTGGAATAGAACATAGCCATACCAGTAACTTGATCAGGGATTTCGCATTACTAAGTATCAACGGCAATTGAATAGTGAAGCGCGTTGTTTGCAGAAAACGGAACACTTAGCTCTGATTAAGCTTGTTATAAAAGCCCAGTATTATCACCCCTCGTAAAAATGTGGCATTTGGCAACTATGATGGCTTTCAAACGGGTTGACTGTGCTTTGTATGCATTAAATTTGACAAACGCAATTGAGTAGAAGTGATGGACTCCTGGAGTATTGGGTCACAGTAGGCAAAATGGTAGTTTAGACACGACTGTATTGTATTGATTCAATAAGTTTGGTACATTTAATCCAGCTGTATTACCACTTATTAAAGGAGACATCTTTTTTGATTTTGCTCTTTAATCTTTGAGCGTTAGAGCGGGAAGAAGAGCTGTTTCAATATAAATGTGGTTTTGGCTGGGGGGGGCAACTTGCGAACATAAGGCTTCGACAAGGATTTTTAGGCTGAGGCGGGCAACATGGTATCAATGCTCTGTTTCACCAAGCGAGTATTAGCGATTAAACAGTCCAAAAAATTATTAATCGCTCGTTGTGTTTCTCATTGATAATACGATCTTGGAGCTGCGAGGGATGTACTGAAGTAATTGTTTGTTGCTGGCCAGAAATATTGGGAGATGTGACAGCTCGGTATCCCTTTTCATTGATCTGGTCGACAAGCTGAATCGGAGAAGTGGGTCGCTGATTGGAGACAGACCTTTACGAAACGCCACCATCTCTTCGTCACCGATCATTTCTTTTTGGTGCTTGGGAATCTTGCGTATTTATTGGCGATCGGTTGCATCCGTTTATTACTTTGAAGAGTTTAAGTCGAGGTGGAAAGCGCTGCAAAACGTCGACGATTAGAAGCATAGTAGCAAGAAGTTGCAGCATGAAGGAGAAATATGGTACGCGCATAGTGATTGAGATGGAACTTGCGATAGATAACCATCCTTGATCATCCATCCTAGCCAATATGTAGCGCGTTCGCATTCTATGGCGTCGTGCTCTTAAGCGCTAATCACATTTCCTTGACCTCAATATAACTCGGTGCCTACTTGGACCTGACAATTTCCGCGAGATATCTGTAGGTGTTGGCTCTTGTGTGAGCTCGACTCTTTGAATCTCCCGGCTATATGATATGTAAGGACGCAAGGCTTGTACATTTGGAGCACCACCAGCTTAACCACAAATATCGCAGCGATGATCAGCAGCATCTAGCGCACTCGAAGAAGTATATGTTAACAAACTCTTTATGCAAGCTCTACATCTAATGCGATTTTCACTGTTCATAATTTGATATGTACTGTTTCACAGAATAAATTCGGGTGTACACGAAAGCTTATCGCACTTTATATCATCAATATTACAGCCGTTATCGATTCTGGAAATGGGGCAGCTGGTATCCTGGCTAGGGTCAGTTCCACCATAAATGGTAGATCAAAGCACTTGTGCTTTACAGAGCAAAATATAAAGCGGTCTATTGAGTTAAAAGTCTTCTAGCTAATAAGTCTACATGGCCTGGTACGAGAGTCTATTCTAGAGCCTTGACAAATTTGTTAACTAGTTGCAAACTTTCGGCGACCATCATTCTCTGTAACATGCAAGTTACAGTTACATTCGACACACAATCAGCAGCGGGGCTGCCGTTCCTTAGCGCTTAAGGAAGCATAATCTAGGTCACCGACCTTTCGTTTCTTACTGAAACCAATACGAGTGTAGCGAATCGCAATCCGATACCTGTTCAAATCCAAAACTATTTTTATTCATTTCCAGCTGCGGCTAACCGCCTACCGCACTTCACAAAATAAAAGCCACTCAAAAAGATCACCTTTTTCTGATTTTCGTTCACCTCTTAACATTAAGGTGATTTTTGTTTAACAAAAAAATCACCACATGGGTAATGATCAAACAAAAAATCACCACGGAGTCCGCACTCTAGTTTGGCATCATGAAGAGATTTCTTCTATCGAATCCTGCGAATCAGAAGTGGGTGGACGCCCAAGAACGCAGGAAACGCGGGC